TTGGGGTCCTAATAAGGATCCTACTATTTAGGGTGCTATATTAGGGTTCCCTAGTTTCGGAAACCCCCATACGGAGTAAACAATTGGACTAGGGCTTTTGGGCTGTGTTTGCTTTTACGATATTCCGGAAGCTGAGGAAGGAATAGGTTTTCCTGAATATTCACGCCCCCTAATTACCTGAGAACCCTTAAGCCAACCCTAAACCCTAAAGCCCTCACAACCTTTGCAGGCCTCGGCATGCCGTGGCCGCGCAATCCTCCCGTGTATCGTGGTTCGAGGCACAGTCTTCATTTGAGCAGCTGAGGATTCAGGGTTTAGGGGTTTAGGGTTTAGGGTTTATAGTGTTCAAGGATTCAGGAAAGTACGGTTTCGCTTTTTGAGGTGGGGGGTTCAGCGTTCGGGTACTTCAGAAGGCGACTGCTACTGGGCGTTTGCCGATGGCTGCAGAAACGGTCGTACAGGATCTAGGCAAGATTCATTGGGGTTTAGGGCTTAGCTGATGGAGCATGTTTGCTTCTATAACTTCCATAAAGATTGGACTTTAGAGGGTTCAGGCTCCATGGCTTAGTCTGGCATTTACTTGGTTGCGGCGTTCTCAATGCCAACCGCTTAGCCAGGGTAGGATTATAGAAAGGCTACCGACGCAGCCACTGAGTTGCAGGTTTTGGGTTTAGGGTTTAGGGTTTAGGGTGTGCACCAGAGACACCAAAGCCCCTCAATTGCCTTTTGAAATCTTAGGAAACATTGCCCTAAACCCTGATGTCCGGGAACCTTTCAACGACCTCGAAGAGCCCTCATCACAACCCCACTATGGCAAGTATACTTGAGCTAGTCAAACGTCAAACTCCATAACAATACCTCAGTTGAGGCCCCAACCCTAAACTAAACCCTGAGCTCGGAAACCAACAAACCCTACACACAGTCCCCTAAACCCTAAACCCTAAACTTCCTAAACCCCTACACTACAGCGCACCTTTCAAGGAGCCCTTGGAAGTTCCTTCCAAGGAACCCAACCCAGGGCCCCAAAGCCCAAGGAGCAACCCCGGGTGCCAGACCCAAAACTCCAGGCAAGAGGGTGTAGGGTTTAGGGTTAGGGTTTCAGGTTTAGGGTTTAGGGTTTAGGGTCTAGGGTTTAGGGTTTAGGGTTTAGGGATTTAGGGTTTAGGGTTTAGGGTTTAGGGTTTAGGTATAAATCTTAAACCCTAAACCCCAAACGGCAAACCCCACTACCAGGCCCCCATCCCTACACTACAATCTCAGGCCCTAAACTCGAAACCTCAAACCCCAATGACAGGCCTTAAAAATCTATAAACCCTAAGCCCAGGGCCCCAATCCCTGGAATCCGCTCCTGCAGCTGCCGACCAGATCGCTCAAGTCCCCACCTGCTTGCTATTCCGAGTCCACTGGTTTCTGGTTTCGGGTGTAAGGCTTCGGCAGTTTGTATAGGGTTCTAGATGGGAGCGTCTGGGAGTTTCCTAGAGTTTCCAAAGGGTTTGTAGTGCATCGGGTAGACTAGGCCTGTCGGGGGTTGGGTTTGGGTTTGGAATTAGGGTTTAGATTTTAGGGTGTGGGGTTCAGGTTTAGGGATGTTTAGGGTGGCTTAGGGTTTAGGTTTTAGGGCCCCGTAGCCCGAGAACTTGAGCTCTTGTTGTAGAACCCCAAAGAGCGCTGTACTGCAAACTTAAGGAACATACGCTGAATATGATGGGCTTCAGGTACATTCCTTAATTAAGGGGTGTAGGCTTTTGGGGAACTGCAGTCGGGATACATATACGGCTTCCCTAGTGCCGCAATTTAAGATACGCTCCTTAACGCGGACAAGATACACGGGTAGTTCTCTAAATTTGGGTTCTTTCTTTAGGTCCCCAGAATAGTACAGCCCCATCATACAAAAGGACCCTGAAACGGACCTATAGAACCCTTATAGAATCCCTATATTCCTTGAAGGAAGCTAAACCCTAAACCCCAAACCCTAAACCCGAACCCTAAACAACCCTAAAAGGGAACCTAATTTAGAGAACTCCCCACATCCCTCTCTAGGAGCTTGGAACCTGAGACTTCTCTTCGGGCTAAGTCGGGCCGTCGAGTTTGGGTTGAGGGGTTTAGGGATTTAGGGGTTTAGGGTTCTGGGGTTTAGGGTTTAGGGTTTAAGGTTTGGGGTTTCAGGGTTTCGCGGGTTTAGGGTTTGGGGTTTCAGGGCTTCGGGGGTTTAGGGTTTAGGGTTCAGGGTTTAGGGTTTTAGTGTTTAGGGCCTTAGGGTTTTAGGGTTTAGGGCTTGAGGTTTTTAGGGTTTAATTTAGGGTGTAGGGATTTAGGGTTTAGGGAGTACTTAGGGTCTAGGGTTTAGGGGTTTAGGGTTTAGGGTTTGAGGTTTGGCCAGATACTTTTCCGCCTTCGGGTTCCTTTCCGCCTTTGTCTTCATTGGCCTTGCCGGCTTCGCGTTCATCCATCGCTTCATGCAACTTCTTACGCGAATGCTCTGCATACTTCTCGCGAAGGGCTTCCTTCTCTTTGAGAAGTTCCTCCTTGATAGCATATTGCTTCCTTGGCTTGTGCTCCTTTGTCGGCCTGCTGGTCCAATGCCCTGGCTGTAAGGACTCGGCTCCTTTACCCTAAGGGTCCAAGTACCTAATAATCATATACTCTCCCAAATAGTAACCTACATAACTACTATCCGAAACCTAAGTACCTGATTATTGGGTCCTTTGGACCCTTAAGGTTACTTCCTTGGTCTTTCTGAGGCTTCTTCTCGGTTCCTTCCAGGTCGACGATCTCCGGCTGTCCGGTAACAAGCTTCGTCCTCCTTTCTGTCGCAGCTTTACGAAGCTCCTCCATCTCATTGATCCTCTTCGCCATAGGTGTTTCTTGCATATGCTCCGGCTTACTGGCCATACTCGTAGGCCTCAGATGATTCCCAGCACAGGAACTCCCCGGCAGGGGCTGTTTTCGCGCTCTCTCGGTGCACTCGGCATTCAACCTGAGTGCAAGATCCCGCCGTGTCATTCAATCGAGATACCTAGCTTGAGCTGGAGTTTAGATTGCAGCCTGTGGAAGACCTACCCTCACCGCTCCCATCCACAGAAAGTCGCACCACTGGTCTGTACATGGCTCTTCAAGACTTAACCCTGTGTAGGTGGTATGTAGAATTTGTGCGTGTGTGTGCGTTGTGCATAACCGTTGGGATGAAGCTGTCGTGCTTGTCTGCCGATGCGGTGGGTTTGACAGATGACGTCAAGGAACCAAGGTTGTCACTTGCCCCTGAACCTTATGCATATCCGACTTGCCTTAGGTTCTACAATTGCCAAAGGGTTCCGGGGTCCGGAGTTTGACTTTAGGATCCTGGGTGGGGGTTATAAGTTATAGGGCTTAGCGGTTCAGACTCTGTCTTTAGGATTCTGGGTTTTGGGTTTAGGATTTAGGGTTTAGGGTTTTATGTCTTTAGATACTCTTGTCTTGTCTAAGAACTAAAGATCCGCGCAGGTGGTGCTTAGGAATTGGCTTCAAACGACTGTTTGCAATGATCCAAAATTTCCCTCTAGCTGCTCGGCATCAAGTGCCCAAATCCTATGGGATTCGACCGTTACGAGTTTTTAACAAAACTTGTCAGCACACCTGGTTTCTAGTGCCTCGACAATGGTTTCAAGTAGACCTGTATGCTATGTATTATTGCCTTAGCAAATGCCGTTTGGGTTCACCTTAAACCCTAAACCCCTCAACCCTACACCCTATAACGCGGGTTCACTATCCCAAAGCGTCCTAAGTCCCTTTATGGGGAATACCGAGCCAAACCTGCAGGAACCCTACTCGTTCCTGAATGGGTCTCTAGGACCCTTTGGGTATGCACCACTTCCCTAACCCCTAACCCCCAAGCCCCTAAACCCTAAACCCCCAAACCCCTAAACCCTAAACCCTAAACCCCTAAACCTCTAAACTCCTAAACCCTAAACCCTAAATCCCAAACCCAAAAACCCCTAAACCCTAAACCCTAAACCCCTACACCCCTAAACCCTAAACCCCAAACCCAAAAACCCCTAAACCCTAAACCCTAAACCCCTAAACCCCTAAACCCTAAACCCCAAAAACCCCTAAAGCCTAAACCCCTAAACCCTAAACCCCTAACCCCTAAAACCTGCCTTGCCAAAGTAC